TGTTGTGGACCAAGCCCTGCCAATTGCCCTATTCCACTTCAGAACTAGACCCCAACAAGACTTAGGCATCTTCCCATTTGAATGCTTTTCGGCCAGTGACCAGACACCCTGAAAGATCTAGACCCACATTCTCTCAATTTAGAAAGGGTGTGTGTGGTCTTGTCTTCATATCTTACAGCTCTGCAGAGATGACTTCGTGATTTGTGGAAATGAAGCATGCTAACTCAGACACTGCCTCTGGAAGAGACACTCCATCTGTTTGAGTCAGGGGACTGGATCTGGATCTGGTTGTTTACTTGGAAGTCAACGCTACAGCCGAGGTGGAATGGATCTTTTCAGGTCCTGCTGATCACCCAGACAGCCATAAATAGCCAAAAAGGACACCTGGATCCACTGGTCCCATGTCAAACCAACTGTAATCAATCACAGCACTGAGCCGACTCCAACACCAAAGATCCTGCCTATCAAACTTAAGCAAGACCCTAAGACAGATGAGTGGACATTAAAGACTCTTTTCAAAACCATGGAGGACAACTGGGAAGACTATGGGGGGAGGGTGGAAGCACATTGTGAAACTGTACCTGATCTGTACAGTAATCAAACTAAAGGGTTTATGAAGTCTAACCTGCTCCCAGACAAAGGTAACATTTGGGAATATTTGGCACAGAAAGTCCTGAATATTATGGACTTCTGTCTGGGGAGGGGGAAAATCTGTTAAAGATATCCTGACTACTTGCCTTGTAGAGGTATCTGTGCACCCACAATCCTTTCAACAGTCTCATTCAAAAGGAAGAAGCAGATCATTCATCAGTCAGGAGGATTTATTGGACCATTACTAGGGGCTGCTATTCTACTGCTGACTAACCTGTTGGTCAGGTAAACAGGGATCATACTGAGAAAATGTATCTTGTCTTGTGCCATCAGGTAGAGCAGCTACCGGGCAGGTACCTACTATGGGGGCTATGGCCACTAGTCGATTAGATGATGACATGCACGCCATTCTTTAGAGATCTGATTTGAAAGAGAACAAGAAGATTAAGCTGCACAGTTTGGTGCCACAAAGGTTTTTAAGGCTGACCAGTTAAAATGACTCCGAGAAGGACACACTGAATCTCATTTACACTCCAGAGACTCAGACTGCCTCCGGCATTACCAGAACCATAATCACAACCATCTCCATGAGACAAAATAATGCATGAGATCCTAGAGGCCGAGAATTGCCATTACAAGAAAAATGCTGAACTTTTATTGAACAAAATGAAACAGCATCAGGACATTTCAGCCTGGAATGATCATGGTACTTTTTAATACAAAGGTGCGTTTTGTTCCTGGTCTTAATATTTTAGACTTAGTGAAAGGGGCATTGCAACACAAACACGTGCTGCTTGTAAGCCTCCAGAGTTGCCTCCAGATGAGATGGGGGGGCACATAAATCCAATAAATAAATAATGGTTGGAATGAATTTATGAATGCTATAGTTGAGGTGAATGTTCCAACAGCCATACTGGGCTCTAACAGCAAGAATAATTAGAAAAGCTGAAAGAGTCTTTGGCTCTTAAGGATATAAGTGCTATCTAGTCCTGATTCTGTTATGTCAGTGCCTATTGGGATTCAGAGGTCAAATCCTAGAAATAATCTAAAGTTTGGTGACCCGCTCAACTTGTAAAATGAATAAAAACACTGTGAAACAAGCAAAAAAAAACACCTTTAGGTTTTAGGTTTTATTTTACGATAAGGCAGACATGTTTGCATGCACTGATAATGGATACATGCTCCAAGCCTCCTTCCCATCTTTATACTTTTTACCAACTGCTTTATCATTTAATATTATTTTAAAACATTTGAGAACATTTTCAAAATCCACAATTTTAAATTGATTGAGTAGAAAAAATACACAGTGCTGTCCACTAATTATCACATGGGTATGTTGCAGTTGAAGTGGATGAAAGGTGTACTTCTCAGCTTGTTGTTCTAAAAACTACACAATGGTGCCCAAGAATTCAGAGTTATCTGTCAGACTTCCATAACAATAAAAAAAGTCATAATATCCAGGAGATGGGAAGTAGGGAGCCAACCAGTGTTCAACAGGTAGAGTTGAGAGCAGGTGTTTACAGTTAACCCAAAAGCTCTTTTGGAGATTTTTGCCCTGGGTAGACGGTCATACTGATAGACCCCTAGAAAGGCAGGATTTCCAGAGAACAAGCAGAAGAGCTGTATGGTGTCCATTCTCACATATAATAAAAAAGCATGTTCCTTGCGTGGCTTATTTCAATAAGGTTTTCAAAGATTTCACAGAGAATCTCTGATGTGAAAAGATTTCTATATATCCTACTTTCTGTAGGTATAAATATAAGCAAGCAGATGTGAATCTTAATACATATTAGATTGACTTTTTTACTGAAAGAGAAAACTGCCACCTTGAGGCATCTACATGATTGAAAGCTTTACTCAAAGTGACAAAGGCAGCATTATGCAGCAAGTTCCACCCCTTTTGTATATGTATAAATTTCAAAATGAACATACAAAATGAGTAGGGCTTGTGATGCAACATCATGAAGTTGCTCTTATCGTTTGACCTCTTCTCTGAATCTCTGTGAACTCTGAACTTTTTGGGCACTCGGTCTCTAAAAGGTTTGCCATCACTGGAATAGGAAGTCAGTAAATGGCTGGAGGGGGGGAAATCAATAAATGACAGGTTAATGGGGGGGGAGCTCTGTACAGCTCCACACCAGCTCCTGGTCCTGAAGATAAATGAGCTACCAGTAAGATAAGAATTACACAGGACTGGATGGTCATCCACCTGTGGGAACAGCTTTGAGTTTGTTTGTTTATTTGTTTATTTATTTATTTGTTTGTTTGTTTGTTTGTTTGTTTGTTTATTTATTTATTTAATCAATACATCACCCATTTCACTATCCAATGCTCTGGGCATACAAATATTACGAATCATATGAATCTTCTCTATTACATCACTAGCTACCATCAGCATGGGGCACCCCCATCACACCTCAAGCCTTTCCTGGACCGGGACGCCTTGCGCACAGTCACTCATGCTCTCGTCACCTCCCGCCTGGACTACTGTAACGCTCTCTACATGGGGCTCCCTTTGAGGAGCACCCGGAGACTCCAACTGGTCCAGAATGCGGCCGCGCGGGCGGTGTTGGGAGGGACTCGTCGCTCCCATGTAACACCGCTGCTGCGCGAGCTGCACTGGTTAC